ATCACTCACTAGTTAACTAGTAAAGGCAAGAGGTTCACTAGTTAACTAGTGGGGCTCAAAATGTCTACACGTTAACTAGTGAACCCTGTGCCCTTTAAGGCAAGCCATTTGAGTATTTATTCATACCATTTGGGACTTTGGTGCTACAAGTGCTGATCCTGGCGTCACTAGTAAGGCTTATGTGCTAACTAATCGGACAAAAGTGCCACTAGTTGCTGAAAAAGAGTGACTAGTGTAATGTTTTATTTAACTAGTAAAGCAGAGTGCAAAACTAGTTTGACCATATATCTAGCAAGTGAAATCAAAGACCCAACTAGTGTAGGCAGCTGCCGTCTGACATCAAGGATATGGAATAAATACTCAAATGGCTTGCCATAGATGGGAATACTTTAAGTTGTTGCCATGAAGACTTAAAGGCGGGGTAGGTAATTTTGGAGAAACCAGCTCGAGTGCGCTAGAATTTGAAAATACACAGCTGGAAAAAATCTGCCACTTCCTTACAGAGCCCCTCCTCCAACACACATGACCAATGAGGGCACGAGATAAGTTTATGCACAGATGGAAGGCTGACAGGCAGGTAGGCCATCCAGTTATTTTAGCCGGGCCGGCTAAAATGATAGGTCGTGCTTTTTAAAGTACTACGGCTTCCACAGATGAATTTCTTTTATGGATTTTTTGTCAGAGACACTTAAGATATTCATTGTCTATCGGGATGTTAAGAGCATTCCATGGAATATAACAAAAAGTGTATCTCGAGCCAGTTTCTCAAATGTAACTACCCCACCTTTAATGTGACATAAAAGCATTTTTAAAATAGGTGTACTTTAGACCTACTTTTTTTTCCTTTCCCTTTCTCATCCTTCCCTTCCTCTTTGGAGATCTCCTCCTCTGCCTTGTAAAAGGTCACGCCCCTGATGACCATGCTGTTCTTGTCTTTGATTGGCTGCTTTGGCTCCGTCTTTTCTTTCATTGGCTTTTCAGTTCCTGTCTTATTCCTGGTTGGCTGTTGTTGTTCCACACCATCTTCCTGTTGGTTATTTTTTAGCTGACTTTCCTGATTCTTCTGCAACAGAACAAGCAGAATGAGTGATTTTCAGATGAGATAACAGTATATTTTTGAAAACAGAGAGGATGCAGTCATTCTTTGCTTCAGTTGGTTATATCGTTTTCAGGCAGATGATACCTGCTTGTTGCCGGAGGCAGCGGCTCCACTTTTCTGTCCTGAACGCTCCAAATCATTAACTTTCCTTTTTTTCTGCTGGGCTTTCTTCTCTTTGTCCTTTTCTTTTGGTCTTTCCTTCACAAGTTTTTTCTGTCTTGCTCTCTCTGTAAAATTACGGGCAAAACCCTGGAGAGCACACACATGATGACAGTATATAAAAGGGCCATTTTAGGCAGGAATCACAAACGCAAAGCTGATCAAATAAATTAGTGAAGAAAGATAACTTATCCAGTATTTGCCTCAGAATCCTGTTTTGAGGTTTTTTAGTATGAAAATTATCCAGTGTTAGTCGGTTGTCTGTATAGCCATAGCAAACTGCTAATAGTTCATCCCCACACTCTAAATGGCTAAACACAGGGTACAGAGGTCTCGATTCTGTCATGGAAAAATGCTCCTTATAAAACACTAGTAGCCTTCAAGACACAGGGCAAACATGAGAGGACACAAACCATTTTCATTTAATATATAAAGTATATTGTTGATAAAAACCACTGTGAAAATTACTCTTACAATCGCCATGAAACTTGAGGAAGTAAAGTAGCATGGGTAAAGAAAGAAGCATTTTGGAAATGAAACACAGGGCAGACATATCATGTTTTGTTTGTTCAGGGTTCCCACGGGGTCTTAAAAAGTCTTATGCTGCGTTCACACCGGACGCGATGCGACATTTGGGGGCGGTGCGATTACATGTAAAGTCAATGCAGAGACGCGATCAGATGCGAATTTGCTCCGACGGCGCGCATGAAGCGGTGGACGCGACGCGATTGAGGCGATTGAACTCTGCCGCGACAAACGCAAGAGTTCAATTTTTTCAACGTTAGCTTAGCCTGGTCGACCCAATCTCCATTCAGAAAACAAGCATTTTAAAAAGGTTTTTCGCCTGCCGTCTTGTCTGCAGACTTGTCAAGCATTAATTCATGGTTTTTACTAACCGGTATCAGTATGTTGTTACGTCGGCATCATTTAGAAACGTGCATTACAATTTAATCACGGTAAAATATGTTCATTTTGTTGTAGTTGTAGCTCCCGAGCCAGCGCGTCTTGTTTGAATGATGCGAGTCAACAGAGCTGGCAGCCGCGGTGAAACTCGAGCGATTAGAGCGAAGCGAATATTCGCATCGCG